GGTTGGGATGGGTTGGGATGAATTCAAGCCAGCAGCACATTCGATGGACCAATTTGATCCTCCAACCATCCCTTCATCCGACATGAAGAGGTAAACTCCACGCCCATGGAGGATACATGCAGTGAGCGTAAGGTGCACTCCTGAAATGTTGGAACGATTTTACTTAATGAGTGCTTCAAGCGTTTGTTTCAAAATGTTTCAACATGTTTCAACAGATTGAATTTAAACTGAGCAGTGCACTTCTTGTGTTTTCATATACTGCCCTTTTTGGACATCTTCTCATTGGCCAGGCTGGTAGGCTCAACTTTGCATGGTCGTAAGAGTCCAGGATGCAGACGCAAAGGTCACGTTGGATCTTTGCCCTCTCGCGTGCACACCAATAGACCTCTCGGTCTTTCCATGTTTGGCTGAAGTGATGAAGCAGCCTGTCGCTGATTTGAGCTGCAACGCGGAAGTCCTTACAGTAGCTGGTTTTCAGTAGTGGAACACAAACCACTTTAAAACACAGGCTCATACAGGCTCAGAATGCTGATGGGACAAGGCTCTGAGGTACCTTGCAATGCAGCCCTCATTCTTGAACAAGTAGAGCATTGTGCATGATGTGACTGTTGATGAAACTTCAAACACGGTTTCCAGCGGCGAGCAACTTTGAAGAATGTTGCCCTACATGCTGCACCACCATTGTGTTCATCAAGCTTTGTTCTCACAAACGCTTTGTAAAGGATGAACAGTTCACTCCAATTTCCATGAGGCAGCTCTCTCATCGGTAACCTTTCCGGGTCGAAGTTGTACATGAGCTGCATGCTAGGTGTCATCAAACGGCAGTCAATCAAACGCTCCAAGAGTTCCTGTCTCAAGCTTTCATCAGCCCGTTTCAGGGATGCTTTGGATGCAATCCTTAGGGAAGCCACTGTGGGATGGGTTGGTGTTGTCATGTCATGTCCATTGACACGGTCTGACCACAAGATCATCCAAGCAACTCTTTTGACATGGGCTCGCCAGCAGTCCAGTACATGTGGAGCATGAAGTTGTGAACTGAGGTCGTCTTTGTTGATCGAGATGCTGGTGGCCCTGAGCGCAGCGCATGATGGCCAAGTTTCAAGGCAAACATAAATAAGGAATGCTCACAAATAATTCAGCAAAGATACTACCAAAAGATCTCATATCTTTTCCATAGATGATGTTTTTGCACCTCCAAAGGCGTTTGACACCAATGGCCATCATGTGGCACCATGCCTCCTTGCAAACATGGTGTCCTGCAACTATTGGTCAGAAGGGTTAACCAATTGCTCAAAAGCAAGGGCAAAAAAAACAGTGTCCTTCAATGTACCAATCCTTTCTGTCTCCACCAGGATGTTCTCGCTGAATTGTCCACAAGACTGTGTCTTGGCTTCTTTTCCCCAAGAGCCAAAAGGCAATACAGACTCGTAGGAGCAAAGCAACCGGCATGGAGCAGGAACATTTGCAAATAGGGTTTGCAACTGCCTTTTGAACCCTCCGTTTTGAACATCCATTTTTGGCATAGCGATCTATATGATTTTTCTTTTTGTTGGTAACTGCATGCATAGATTGCAGCCGTTGCAACGTAAGATCCACATAGCCTCCAGACCCTCCATCCTGTTCATCACTGGTATCAGGATCGGTTTCCCCCATTGAGTCATCATATGAAGAGTATGACTTCTCTGAGTCAGAGCCCGCAGACCTTGGTATCAGCAAGACACCATGTCTTCCAGGTGCACAGTGAACCACTTGAGAGAATTGGTGCAGCAAAGTTGCTGTTCACTTTCATCAGAATACTCAGAGGATGAGGTTGGATCATATCTTTTGCACACCAACATGCCAGTGGATGGCACTAGGGCATTTGCAGCAGCATCATAGCGCTCTAGGACCGGCATAGCCAAAGTCAAAAAGAGTATACAGTATTTATGTGTGTTTTGAGATCTTTGTTTTAGCATCACTGTGCCTTGCTGCATGTTTCACCATAGCTAGTGAGAGAAGAGGACAAAACGCAAGATCAATTGACTTGACTGCAAGAAAAACGCTCATGGGTTCAAGGAGAAGAGGAGGGCAAAAGGTTAACACCCTTTTTTGTCAGGCTGCCATAGCATCAGGTACGGTGCTGCTAAGTGCAGCACAGATAGCGGCCATCACACATCGAATGTGCATTGAATTTCCTGCTAGCGATGCAAGAACCTTACTGGTAGGCAAGCAGCGACTCGAACCAAAAACAGTGTGGAATCATTCTAGTCTAGTGTCCAACCAAGTAGCTGACTCACTGACATTCATTTGCAAACGGTGGTACGGGAATCCCATCAAAATCAGAAGCTCCCTTCCAATAAGATACCGAGGATTGTCACCATTGAAGTTCAAAAACTTCCCATTGGGCCTTGGCTTTGGGCAAGGCAGTTCTTGGCTTACCAACTTTCACAACATGCACACTCAAGATCACTAATCTTGGAAGAGAACGTCAAGCAAGGGAGCAACTCGTCATCCTGCTTGGTGAGGAAAGGCATGCAATGCAAGCTCTGGGATGTGTTGGCAAAGGACAAGTCCTTGAAATAGCCCAATAGAGCCACAGCCTAGAAGCAAGGGAAAAAGCAAAACATATGCTGCAAAGAGAGCACTGAGTGACAGCATGTCATAGCATGCACCTCCATTTCTCGCCGTGTTGTGATGTATCTGCTTGCAGAGCACAGCTTCTTGAAGCGGGCAACGGCCTGACTGATCACCACCTGCCATTTGCATTCACGCATTTAAATTCCCACAGCACTCAAACACACTCAACGAGCATTCACAAACACAAACAGTGCAGCACATGCCTTGTTGGCCTTTGCATATTGTCTGTGGTGTTTGATCCATTTTGCATTCTTATCCACTGGCCTAAAAAAATGTGAAAGAAAGACAGGTCAAGCAAGTGACCCATGCTGCATTCAATCCAAGTCACTTCCAAGCGTTGCGAAGTCGTGCTGCCTCTTTCAGCCTGCACTGCTTTGCAACTGCCTTGTGGTTATCAGGCAGCAGAAGGTCCTTCCTGAGATGTGCAAAACTTGACAATTGGCGCAACAAACTGTTTAATTTGAACCTGGCAATGGTGCAAAGCAACATGTGCTAGCCAAAGCTCCAGGAAACCTGAACAGTCAATTGCATGCCCTCAAGAAGCCTGAGGATGTGCCTCTCAAAGGATTCTAAATCCTTCAAATGGGGTTTCAATACGTCCTTGCGGACCATAATCACAAAGATCCTCCGTCTTGACAAGGGCGCTCCATACTCATCCCTTGGCCATTGCACTGTCATGTTACCCCACTGAACCATCAAACCAACTGGAGCAGTGCAAACTGCTTGCAAGCAAGATGCGGTGACAAGACGGTTGATGTGATCAAATACCTGGCCACAGAAGTGCAAATCACTGACTCACTGCAAAGGTAAGAACACATCATTGCAGTAGTTCAGTGCAGGCAAGATACCCTGGAAGATTCTCATGGAGAACCTCTTTGAGGCCAGACAGTAGCGGCATGAAGCCCATGACATTCTCCAAAATGCCAACCTGATGCAAAAGGATGCAAAGCAAATTCATGAAACGACAAGAAAAGGCGTCATATCAATGATGGCAAGAGACTTTGGGCCGGTAGCGCCGCAAGCGCTTCAGGACAGCAAACAACTGTCGTGCATTGGGGTCATCAAGCATCAAGCGGCTGTTCGAGAGGCTGCTATACGGCGTGCATGGAAAACCTGCTGCGTACAGGCCCACCTTAACAATGCACCATCCACAACAAACCAAGCATTCCATCCACAATGCACAATCTTCACTTCAATCTAGGAACATCATGGATCTGGAGCTTTCGAGTTTCTGGTGCCAAAAGGTCATGTTGAATCCTTAGCTGGACACTACTGCAGAACTTCCAAACCATCACCTTTCCAACAAGCATCATCATCCAAGTCACTCCTGGCAATTGCTTGCATTTTCAGCCAGCCACTGCCTTTTGGACGCGTTGATCTCACTGGCTGACCTTAGATGACACAACACACACCAGCCAAATCAGGAAAGAATCAAGCAGCAGCTGAGTCAGGTCCCAGCTGCAAAAACTCCAAGCACTCCAGCTTTCTGGCCGCATGGCATAACATCTCAAGCGCTGTATATGGTGCATCTGCACCTGAACCTTAAGGAAACCAAGTCAAACCAAGGGCAAAATCACACTTCACTGTGCAACACATGCAGCCTGCTGACAGTCCGATGCATACGTTAGTCTTTGATGATGTATGCCACCACGGAATTCTCTGAACCAGCTGTCCAATCCTCACACAGAACGCAGCAAACTTAAGGAATCTGAGATTAGGCACAGGCCCTTCAACCAATAAGATACAGCCATGTTTCCAGAGTTCTGGAGGAAGGCAGTTCCAGCCTCAAGCCAGTTTATGGTGCCCTGAGTCATCGCTTCATCACCAACCTCCTGGAAAAGAGGTGAGATAGAAGATCAAATAGCCTGACACATCCCAACAACACTAAGAATACCCAGTCCTCGGAATCTTCCCATGACGTCTCATCAGATGCCATGGCTGACCACCCACTCTTTTGAATCAAAATGGCATCAGAACAAAGGATCACTTCTCAATTAGAAAAGGATCAGTTCTGACTAGACACCCCTACATGATTACATCTCAACACTTCAAACAATTACAAATTGCAAGACGTAGAATACGTTCGGGGTTTGCCGCAATTTTGAGTAGATAAAAAGGAATAGTTTGGTGTTTGTAAACTTATCTTCCAAGGGGCCATCTGATCCACGAAACCATGATTGCTCCAGGGAGTATGTGATACATTATGAAGCATTTTATGATACATGGCCCCATTGGCCTCCAGGTTGAAGCACATGGTGAATTCCCAAGAGGCTACTAGTAACTATAGTAACAAGTGCGTCGAGAGTAGTAACAAGAGCAAGAAGCTACTAGTAGCTAGAAGAGCTGTGCTTGCTTCGCACACTGCACTCGCTTCGCACACCCAGGTGTGCACCTTGGGCCCACCTGGGGCACCTTCTTGGTGACGATCTCTGCCTGCGGGCATGTGCTTGGGCCAGTCGAGAAACCGGATCCAAAGGTTGGATGATGGATGGAACGAATGGAACATCTGGAGGGAAACTACTTGAAATGGGGAGACCAGGTGTGAATAGGTCAAATCTTGCAACACTTCAGTTGAAACTTGAACAAATGAAAGTGGTTGCATTCGAACCTCAGTGCAAGATGGTGGACGACAACTCAAAATATACCTCCTTTAAGGAATAAATTATAACTTGTAACGCATATAAATTCATGGGGCTCGCAGGTGCAATCCGCAGGTCGCAGGGTATGTGTCATGAATACGAGGGCTTTCAGACTCCCAAACTATGCAGTGGATCTACACTCCCTGAAATGATCATGGTTACGTGGATGGCAACACCTGTTTGGTCTTCGGATTTCATGGTCATCTAAAGGGTCATGCCATCCGCTTCCACCACGATTCTTTCAGGGAGGGTAACTTACTATTCAGGCCATGAAGATCTCCACCCTTGACGTGTCGCTTGGTTACACCCACAACACCAGAAGAATGCAGGGAACATGGTGTATCATAAGCTTGAACCAACTGATGGCTTTAGTTCAAGAGAAGCATCACATCGAAACCATCATCAGCGCTCGAAACCGTCATCAACGTCCAGTGTTTCATAGTTCCGTTCTGGCTTCGGTTTGCTCTCATTGCAGAGCTTTGGGCTCAAGTTTGGGGGGACCAGGCCATGGTACAAAGAGCCTCTGTAGAGACCTGGGGGAGACCCACCCGGAACTCGGTCGCGAACGGGAACAAGTACAGCTGATCCCTGTTGAGAGGGTCATGGGTCAGGTCTCATGTTCCAGACACGACTCGATGGGTTGACTGGCGTATTTACACGACTAATGGGACGGGTGGTTGAAAAGGGGTCAACGTATATATATATATATATATACCACCCCTAGGGATCCAGGAGGTTACCTCCTCCAGTTCGGTACGACTGGAGCCGAACAAACCCACACCCAGTCCCAGTCCCAGTCCCACCGAACCGAAACGAGGGTACGACTGGATCCTGAACGCGCACATGGAGTGTTTGGGATCTTTGTGGTACTGTTCGAGTCCATCGGGTCCAGACCGTACAGACCCGGTTGGGAGGTGTGCCGTCTTCGCCGTTTTCGGGCCGTTCGGTACTTGTCTGGTGAGGACGGAGCGGGTTTAGCATTGGATTGAAAAGCGTTGGCTGGAACCGAAGTGAGTTGGCAGGTTCTTGATGAAAAATATTGACATCGACAAACTTGGGAATTTGGCAGGTGGATCTATTGGGATGTATTCTTTCTCCCACTTGGACACCTGGACCGAGAAAATAGTGATGCTGAGGGCCGGCGTTGGGAGATGGCCTTGGCTCTCAAGGAGCAAGGTCTGAATTCCTTGCAGCACCAGCTCAGGCGTGGTCGGCAGTGGGATCGATCAGAGCATGTGATTTTGTGAAAACAAACAGATGCGCAGATGGGTATCCCAGATATGGTCTGTGGAAATGAGGAATTGAAGAACCACAAAGATGCTAGGGCCTATCTCTATGAAAACTGCCTCATCGTTTATTTATATATATATAATATATGTATATATATATACAATATATCTATCTCTAGATATCTCTAGTGTGAGCTCCCTACCTACACCCTGGATCGGTCTTGTTCCACCACGAGGTTCCCCGATGCGATCCTGGGCCTCTTCAATGCAGCGATTACTGCATGTGAGAAAGCCAGGTGGGGTGGTGATGGGACGTGTGGTGATGGGACCGCGGTACGAGCAGCCGGTGGTTTGAGGGCGATTTGAGCAGTCATGTACAGTCATGTACAGTACGAAAATCGTGGTGTGTTTGGGGTTGGAGAGGGGGATGTCGCTGTTTGGACTCTCTCTCTCGGCTGCCAAAACTGGTTATTATGTGCATGGCATGTCGCTGGGTTGCGCTGGCGCTGTCGCTGGTGGTTGCCCTGTGCGAAATGCCGGTCGGGTCCGGTTTTTGGTCCACTGGGCTCCTTCGAGCTGACACCGTGGGAAGTGGTCGGCTGCCAGGGCTGGCAGGGCTGGGCTGGGACTGCTTGGTTCGGGGTCTCCTGGCCCATCTCCTCAGGTAAGGTGGTATTCGACCCTCCAAATCCACCCACCCCTGTCCCATCGAACCGATTGCCGGAGGTAGGCCAGGGCGAAGATGATGTTTCTCAGACCCAGACCGGAATTGCGAGGGTCTACCTGGTCAAATACATGCTTTGTAGCCTCAGCCGATTCTCTAGATAGGTGCTGAAGCACATGATGTCAGGTGGTCCCTTCATTTAGCAGACCTCCTCTCTTTTTTGATTCTTTTGCTTTTGTTTTGTAGTCAAGAGGTCCGTTTTCTCCAGGGGCTTTGTGCCCTTTGCCCTGCACAATCGACTTATGACACACTGGTGCCACTTATGAGCAAAGATGGAAGTTGAACAGCTCCCCTGTGCAAAAGAGCCTGCTGTTCCATGAGGGGATCCCTTCAAAAACGGCATGTTCTTCTTTATTAAAGCTATGGGACCATTCCATGTGGAACACCTTATATGCCCTAGGGCTCCAACCACCTGCTGAGAAGATGGTTGGGGTGGGTTTGGAGGGTCTAACCACCTTCTGAGGATATAGTTGGAGCCCTAGGCTAGGGATAGCACATCTCTTTTTTTTCATTGTTCCACTACGGTGTGCGAGTGTGTTTCCACCGCGCGTTGCAGCTTCGACAGGACTTGGACGCAGGCACTGGAGCAGCTGGCGCAGCTGCGGCAGTTGCGTTTGCAGCCAAATGTGGTGACCTTCAGCGCTTGGGCTCAAAACATGTGGGATATGATATATGAGTGTGTGTGTGTGTGACTGCTTTGATGACATGGGGTGAATTGTTTGCACAAAAAAAACACACATTCTGGATGTGCGAAACTTACAAATAGATCAGCAATTGGGGCGTACACATCTGGGGGGGTGATTTTTTGAAACAAACAATCCGATCGAGGTGCTCTCATCAGCGCCTGTGAAAAGTCACGGATTTGGGAAGTGGCTGTGGAGGACCTGGCGTTTCGCGATGGGCGCTGCACCGGCGTTTTGGGCGTTTGGGTTGGAAACAGCTGGAGACAGGCGACACCGATCACCGGTTGAGACAGTGTTGGTCTAAGCATATGGAAGCATCAACACGTGGATTGATGTGAGAGGTCTTGATTTGCAAGACCTATCTCTATCTACCATCATCTACCCGTTTGAGGGTGACTTGGTTGGCGTGAAATATCACCATTCTAGAGGCTTCTTGCCTGGCCAGTGCTGTTCCGAGGCAGCACCCGGCCTTTCCACCTGTCGCCTTTGGCAGAACTGTCTAGTACCGATCTGTCAAGGTGATTCCCGGAGTCACATGTCGCTCGGGGTGGTGTGGCTCGTCCCATCCAGGGGCCCTGGATGTGACTGTCGGGCAGCACCCCGACTTCCTTTGATCGGAACCGGCACCCCGAGCTTTGTGATTGCCGGTTCTCATTCGTGACTGCTGGATGTGTCTTTGTCGAGGTGGTCGAAAAGAGTCGTCTTTTGTGTTACGAAGGAAGTCTACACTACTTAAAACCAGTTCAACCTTTCTTTTACTGTAATGGTTTTGGAAGGCTACACTATGTATAGGCTTCCCTAGAAGCTAAAGATCAAGGATTCTGGCCAAAGCGAGGCGTCTTAACCAACTCAGAGGAAGGTTGTTGAGTGGTGGACTTCTTCAATCAATCAGTCTAACAGGTCAGGACTCAAAACATGCAGCAGGACCAACCGAGTCTTGTGCTGGACATGAGGCGACATGAGGTGCAGTTGGAATCAAACAGATCTGCCCATGTTTGCCCAATATGGGACTATTAAATTAGTTCTGGGCCCGGAAGCCTTAAAAATGACCAGGCCAGGCTCTAATACATCTCTATACAATCTACACTGTAGACACCCTTAACCTTTCACACCTCGTTCTATAACTCTCGCCATCTCTCGCACGCCCCTCGACTCGGCCCCGGCGCGGTGCTCGACCCGCAGCTTTGGACGGAGCTCCACCGCTGCGCCGTGGCGCCGGAGCTGATCACCTACAACGCGGTGACTCGGTGGAGTCGGCGGAGGGGGTGGTCAGACGGGACCCCTGCATTCATTATAGTGGATTGAGAGGACCAATGGCACAGAACCCAAGAGGTGGGTGGTTTATATGGACCCCTATATAAAGGACATCTTGGGGTCTGTGCCATCTACTCTGAAACCACTGTAGAGGTCAGTTTGACCATGTTTGACCGAAGACTGAAGACTGGAGTTGATCATACCAACAGCACGGTCCAGCACGGTGTTCAAGGAGGTGAAAGACAAAGTTTTACGTGGTCTTTGGACTTGTTGGGGGACATATTAAATAGTCATGGGATGATATATACATGATGATCTTTGATGTTGTTTGCAAAGCTTCCTGCCACACCGATAAGTCATGCCAGAGCCATGTGTGCCTTACACTTCTATCAACCTCAGGTGACACAAATATGTTGTGAACGATAAATACGGGATTTGATTGAAGCACCCGATCAAGGCTGCCAGGGCATTGAAAGGCTGCAAGGCTGCCAGGCGCAACGGTTAGCCCCACGATGCCACAGGAGCACTTGGTGAACACCAAAACCCTATGGATCCACATACCTTCTCAGAAGGCAATTGGAGACTATTTATGCAGGCTTTGAGTGTCCAATTACCTTCTGAGAAGGTGGCAGTGGAACGGGCCAAACCCTTCTTTGCACGCTTGTTATCCCTGGGATCCGTTTCCGTGACTTGGCACCTAGCGCTAGCGGTGTCCTTTTCGTCCTCACCTGAGCTTTGGCACCGAACCAACGAACCAACGAACGACGGGTGTCGCAGGTCGCTCGGTGTCGCAGGGCCCTGAAGGTGGGTTCTGACTCAGGTCATCAGTGCATGTGAAGCAAACTGGAGGCCAAGAACAGCCTGGGTTTGCTGATCAGGTGATGTGTTTATATGTGTTTATTTTACAATGGTAGATCCCCTTCTGGGAAATATGAATATGCTTTTCTCCAGGTTCCTGGACAACAAAATCCAAGAACAGACGACCTTGCGTTGTCCGCTTGGAGCACCAACCTGGTGGCACCCTCAACAGCGTTTTCCTTACCATTTTCATACGCGTGGAGAGTTCATGCATTTGTTGGGGATTGACTGTTTGATCCATCCCTAGGGCTCCTGGCCCATCTCCTCAGGTTCGGTGGTTAGACCCCCCAAATCCACCCACCCCTGTCCCATCGAACCGATTGCCGGAGGTGGGGGGTTGGAGCCAGAGGGCATGGGGGTACCTTGTCGTACTGCATGGTCTATTGGGAGATCGAGTCAACGCGGTCTCTTGACTCGCCAGAGCCAGGGGATCCGCGGCCAGGCGTTCTTGGCTGAACCAGGTGCCCAGAACCCGGTCAGTCCACTAGTCTGCGGTTTGGTGGTCTTTGGAACCACTGGTTATACCCTGCTATAGGCTGCTATACACTATACTTTTATCTCAATCCACTGGAATGCACTTCTAAGGTCAGTTGCTGTACCAAAACTTTGATCCATGCCAACTTCATGATGATTGGACTGAACAGGATTTGTATAGGTCATAAGTTCCTGCAAGCATTAGATCTCCAAGTCGGTCCGGATGTAGACTTGTGCCTGTGCTGAAGAGTTGGTCCTCCCGGCTTCAAAACATGTTGCTCTCGATCCGATCCACTTTGTATTGGTCAAGTCAAAACCACACCTAGTAACCCACCGGTTGGTTCTTTGTTCGCATGCCATGGGGTTCCCCCATGGCAGCGATGGAACCATCGACGCTTTTGGGATCGCCCGGGGGGCGGAGCGGAACCGTCGGACCGGCGAAAGGGATCGACTCGAGGAGTGATGAAGCGATCTGACAGCGACCTGGACATACCCGGTGAATGGATCTCTTAATACGCAGTGAATGGAGCTCTTGGAGCTCTTGGTGACCAATTTACATTCAGGGGACACGCCGGACACGCACATGTATTTGGTTGATGAAATTTCAACACCCCAGGCCTCAGGTGTCTCCATGCAAATTGATGTTTGTTTTGGTTAAATGAATCAAGAGTCTACAAATTATACATACATATCTTGACCCGATTCAACGTAATCATTCCTTTTGAAATTGGGGAGATTTTGCCACAACGAGGAATCAAGTTCACAGCAACTCCAAAGATACACTGTTTGTACTGAAAACATCACTGACCTGCCCTGGGGTGTGTCATGGCATGTCCCATTACCAGTAAAAGTTGGTATAAGAATGGATAAGATATTTTAATATTACATATATCTAAGTTGGTATAAGACATATATATATAGGTTATAATTTGTATTTTGAGAAAGGCCTGCAACCTAACCATCATCATCATGTCATCCACTGGTGTATATATATATTACATTCAATGTAGCTATATTCCAGACCCATCGGTCATGTTTGGGATTGATTTCAGCCCATCTGGCTGTTCCACCAGGCTCGTCTTGGAGCTTCTAGCGCAGCTGGCCGCCGAGCCGCGTTTGGCGCCGGATCTGGTGACCTGCAACGCGGCGATCTCGGGCGCCTGGGCCGATGGTGGAGGGACGTGGAGATGAGTGGATCTGGAGATCTCAAAAAGGCAAGCCGTGACCTGAGCAAAGAGTGAAGTTAATATAGACATGGACATGTGCTGAAAAGCATGTGCACACATTTTTTGGCACATTGGTCGATTCCACTGACTTCACGGGCTATGTCAAAGATGTTCGAAAAGCCCGCTTTGGAGCGATCACCTGGGGTTTGACGCGAAAACCTGGGCGTATACGGCGTATGGGCACCAAAAGAGAAGTGGTTTTAAATGTTTTGTTTCTTTTCACTGCATTGTGGGAGATCACGGGACGTTCGCGACCTACCGTGACCTCAAAAAAACACTCCAGGCAAGCAGGGGACTCCAAGGGACTGGAAGATCATCCGTTTCCTTTAGGCACCCCAATGTAGATGAAGATGTCATATGCAGTGTTTGGGGTTCGGGATTCATCCAAAAAGAGTGCATGGACGTACCTATCATTGGACCCATCTCTAGGGTGATGTTTGGAGGCGTTTGTCCTGGTACATTGAGCCTCTCCTGACTCCCAACACACAAGCACCCTGATCTTGTAACAAGTCACAGGTTTGTGTTTTGTACTGCTTGGAGGCTGCGGATCTCGCTGGAAAGCAAATCATATATTCCGGACAGTTGTCTCTTTCTTCAAAATTCCATGGAGGCCTTGGCTAGCCGAGCAGGTACAGATTCTGGTGACATCTACAGAAGCTGGTCTTTTGGTGCTTCAGCCTCGCTCACCAACGCCTCGCGCCACAGTCGCCAACGATTCCAGCGAAGGACGAGCATTCCTATTCTCTGCACACGCAGACGCAAGAAGACCTTCGCCGACCTTCGCGGGACGAGCAAGTCCATGTTGGACGACTGGTCAGACCTTTGTTGGACGACTCTGCGGGAAGATGGAGTTGAAAACAACCGCTGGACCAAGCGGACAACTGTTGTCTATGGCCAGGCGGAACAGACCCGCGAACAGACGTTGACCTATGTTGTCTTCTCACTGACTCCGGTGTTTTGCGACTTGACATGTTTTGATCCAGGGGCATGGCTTCTCACCTCCTGATTTCGGGCGTGTGTATGCCGAGCCAAACAGATTTTGTGTAGTGATCTGGAAAAACAGCTTGTGCCGTGGAAGAATCCTAGACCATCCTAGACCTCTGCCAGACATTTTGGGTGACTATTTATGCATGGCTTCGTTCCAAACTAGGACCAGCCAGTCTTTTTCAATCTGACTCAATTTGTGGAGTCCCTAAAAGTGACCTCCAACTGTGCCGGATCAAGTGTCACGAACTGAAGAACATCAGTTACCTTGAAGCTCGAAGCCTGGTTACGGCCTGTCGGTCACGTTGCCACACCATGGAGGTTTTAGGAGCTTGCAAGCACCGCAGGTCTTCAGGTGACGACTCGTCAAGTGTCTTCATCACCCGATGTCGATCCGGACCGGGGACACACACTACCGGTCACGACCGGTCCACCAGATTTCCAAGACTCAGATACCATGGGAGACCTACGCAACCATGGGGAACACATGTGTATAGAACCTCTTTCTAGTCCAAACATCCTTTGGCACCCCATCCTCAATCCTCCAAAGTCCCACGTCCCGCGAAACTGGAGGTTTCGCCTATGGCCATCAGTGGTCACGCGCCTTAGGGATCCTTCAAGGCGTCAACTTCGGGTCAACTTCGTCCTGGGTGTGTGTGTGTGTTTTTCGGGTGATGTTTGGATGTTCCCCACCTCACCTGGACCCGACTGACCCAGTTCCCTCAGAGTCATGGGGACGTCTGGTTCCCAGGGTCCGAGGCTACGAACGGGTCGACTCGGTCCCGAGGGAGCTGATCTGACCGCCCAAACCGGGAAAGATGTTGTGACTACGTCCCGGTAAACTTGCACAAGTCAGTAAAACAGTTCTCACTATTTGAGAGTGCAACCTAGGCCTGCAACCTAACAATCATCACCCACTGGTTACTGGTAATGGGATATAGACATGCAGAAAGGACATATGTTCTATTTCTTACCCCGCTCCCTAGCGCAGCAAGCCCAAGTGATTTGTGTTCGACAAACCCCGATGAGGTCGAGAGCGATATATGTTTTCATATGTTTGTTCAAGTCGAGCGACACAACCCAAGGGATTTGCAGGGCTGGAAGATGCTGGAAGATATTGTTGTAACACATCATTGACCCCCTTATTCAAGCACCCCAGTGTAGCCAATTTGTCATGAGAAGTGTTTGGGACTCGACCCATCATGGGACCTCATCAGATGGCCTAAACGTCAGCTCGGCTGTCCTGGTACATTGACCCCTTGAGAACACCCGCAGCCAATGTAGATATGTCATACCCAGACCGCCCCCATGGACACTCCTATGGCTTGGGACGGTGGCTGTGGGACCGGGAGTCGGGCTGTGTCCGGCGGAGACGGGGTCCGAGGGTGAGGAGACGCCCATCGGAGGGTCCCGGTCTTTCCGGTTGTCGGGGACCTGTAGAAGTGCTGGACTCCTGTAGAAGTGCTGCGCTCTTCAGGACACTTTTGGGCTCTTCAGGACACTTCAGGACAGTCTTGGCACTATAGGGTGGTACTACTTACTATAAGCCCTGCAGTTGAGGGGATGAGCTAGGGTGTGAATGGTAGGGTGGTACAGCATGGTGTTTTTGGGTGATCCCAGCGATCTCTCACAGAAGTCAGGACCGCCTAGCCTGGTTGAGGTCCCTCAACTCCCAACAAACGCTGGTCCGGTGGACTCCGGAAGCTTCGCTGGCCTGGTGAATTCCTCGTTTGACATGTTCTCATTCTTCCTGGTCCTGGGGATGCTTTGGGTTGGAACCATATCGGGTCGGAACCAACACCAGGTGAGGCGCGTCGGACCACCGCGACCGGTCTCCGTTTTTCGCCGGACCGACCGACGGGTTAGAAGACAGCAGCACCGTGACCTGTGACCATAGTCTACAGATCTCCCGCAGCTGACTTAGGGGACCAGTATTGCTTTTGGGGCCAAAAATAATGTATATTTAGAGCGGGGTGGGATTTGGAGCCCTACTTCATAGAGCTTTTCTTTATCAAAAAGAACGTCGCAGTCATTTGCACCCTCGTGGCGATGAACATGATGAACCTCAATAGGTCCAGTGGAGATGGCCATTTGATGGAGATCAAGATCATTCACTGGCGGATGAACTGAGATCAAGATGACTTGTTTGAGCAGGAGAACTCACAGGTTGGTTGATCTTAGTTTGTGCATACCCATAGACTCCATGTATGGAATATATGCCTACATTGACCCCCCTGGCACCACCCCAATTGATTGGTATGGCAGTTCCATTAGTCGCGTCTAGGATACACAGCACATCCTGTGGGATGCTGGCGAGCCTGAAACTCTAAAGGGCGCCGTAGCCTGGATTATCCCGGCGCCTGGATCACTTGCTTTGAGCGGGCTGAGTCTTGGTTCGGGTGGGAGGCTCCAAGGTTCCAATTCTTCCTGGCAGTTGCAGGTGGGTATTTCAGGGTCAATTTAGGATAATATGTCAATGTAGGATAGTGTATATATAGGCATACTCCTCAAAAGGTACTTGGACCCTCCTGGCACCCACCCCAAACACCTTCTCAGAGGGTACATGTGTCCTTAGGGACAATACTTGTTCCATTCCCAATGGAGTCTTTGGGAATGTCGAGTCTTTGGGGTTGACACCGTCCACTTCGTCCACTGCTTCTTCGCTTCTTGATCCAACACCACCGCGAGGCATGTCGGCACTGCGTTTGCAGCCCAGCCTTGTGACGTGAGCTGGACGCAAAGTGATTGGCTGCGTTCGGGTTCCATGGGCCGTGTGGGTGCCGAACGAACGGAGTCCAGAGTGCTCAGTGGGTCGAGCCATGGGTGTTGGCAAAGCACAACGAAACATGGAACTTCTCAAACGGAACATGGCGATGTAGAAGGGTGCCCAAAAATCACTTCCACCCATTGAGCATGGTGGAGCCAAAACCACCCGAACTGGTACAAGTTCTTTTGCGTGGCAAGTTCTTGACCATTCTTCTATCCCAGACACTCCATGTATGCCATATACCTGGATCCTCCTTTGGGCGGAAAAAAGTGCCGGACCTCAATCCGGCAAAATTTTCCGCCGGATTCCGAAAAAAACGCCCGAGACCTTAAAAAACATCCGGATCCAAGATTCTGAAAAACAGAGATGATAAAAGGTTGGATCATACACAAGGAAACTGCCTTTGCCCACTGTTGCGAGTAGTTTTTCTGGAGCACACTCGAACCTTCCCGTTCCCATTGCCCTCGCCCATCTTGCGAATGGCCTAAGAGCAAAACCATCACACAATATAAGCAACTTGTGCCCAAGCAAAGACTTCCAAGGAGTATGTGGCAAGGAACCGCTCTTTCTCTGCAACCGTGTCTCTAAAGTGTTTTTTTACAAAGTGGGCTGCTCTCCATGATTCTTATGCTTCTCAATGTTTCATGAAAGCTTGCCTCAGGACGGCCCCCCAATAAAGTAGTAGCAGAACTCATGGTTCCTGTCAAAACTCTTCTGTGAAAAACTGTTCACAATCAAAGCCTGCAGAAGACTCAGTCCAAAAAATACGCCGGAGTTACGGGAAATTACGCCGGAGTTACGGGAAAATACGCCGGAATTACGGGAAATTATGCCGGAGTTACGACGTGCAATTTTTTGACAACTCTCTGCCAAACATTGAGATTCTGAACAACACATGTTCCACAGCTCAAAATCTTGTCCGGCAGGCTCTGCAAACCTGCGCAGCTAGAACTATATCCCAGCGCCCCGACATCCTGAAACAATGGGAGTACCTTTTTGCCTATGCCTATGGGTCTTTCAACAGGTGCATCGCACTGTACCGGCTTCATCCGATTTCATATAGAAGATCACCTAAACGGATCTGATTGATCCAGTGTGAACCATGCTGAAACCGGTGGAATGAGAAAACAACGGAACAGGCAAACGAGCACACTTTGCAAACAAAATCATTGCATCAGTAGTGGGTTTACCTTCAAAGAAATGCAGACCACAAAGAATGCAAAGCCTTGAGAATCCACATAAAGTGACTTGGAAAAAGCGCCGGACCAAATCCAGAAAAACGCCGGAGTTGGAAGTCCGGCGCCGGACCCTGTAAAAGTGCCGGACTGAAGATGTAGGTATGCCTACATTGACCCCGCAAACCACCCCAACTGATCGGCATATATGGCAGTCCCATTAGTCGTGTCTGGGTATGGCCTATTGACCTACCTTCGGGGTGGTTGGTTGAAACCGGGGTCAATGGCATCATTTGCATGCATGATGGAGTCTTTGGGTTGTCGCTTTGCCAACTGCTGAAGAACCCTAGGTCGGCTATTTCATGTGTACTCCAGTAGGATCTTATAAGGTCATTCACTGACCCACCCCACCCCATCCCACCCCACTTAACCTCTCTTGGTATGTATGGTTTGGGGCCTCTTTGTGAAGCTTTGGGCCTGGCCGTCCTTCGGGCCATCGGGACCCTGCAGTCGACGGCCACCTGTGTTCCTTGACGGTGGTGTTCGGGTGTCCTTAGAGGAGTCCCCGAATTTTCTGGGGCATCTGTTTGTTTGTCCTCGATTTGGACAGCAAATCCAAGCAACTCCTAGTTCAAACACCTTTGAACTTGCTCCCTCTGCTGACCACACAGAGGGCAGTCTTCCGGAAGAACACTCTCATTTGAGAAGAGTCCAGACTCCAAGTTTCGAGCCCGGGCCTAGTGCCCAGTTCTCCAACGCTTGCCCCATGGATATCCGGAGGCTAGGCGGAGCCAGGTAGCTTCACTTTGCATGACCTATCAGGTGTGCTGATGTGCCATGTCTAAGCCTGGTCGGGTGAACATGGAGCCGTGAGACCCATCCCCAGGACAGTCCGCCCAGTCGCCAGGTATTCGGCCGTTTGGACGGCTTGCCTTCAAGGAGGCCACGATGAGACGGTGGTTTTGTTGGTGTGGGTGGGCTGCAGAGCCCTCCCTATGATAGATAGATAGATAGATAGATCAAGTACCATGGAGTGAGTGAAAGACCTATATACCAGGACCTCCAAGTTCGGGTTTTTGGACACCCCGAAGTCTCAGCTCACTAAAGGCTATGTTTATTCCTATAGGGCTCCGAACGGCCCACCTCCGGCAATCGGTTCGATGGGACAGGGGTGGGTGGATTTCGGGGGTCAAATACCACCGGTCACCTGAGGAGATGGGCAGCCCTAGGGTATATAGACTCCCTATATAGAACTAACATGGTTACGTGGAGAATGACGCCGAAAGGAAGACCATGTTTCTCTAAAACAGGGGGGTTGTCCACTTCCATGTTAGTTGCAGGGAGAGTAGACACCTCAAAACATCGGAGGCTCTCCTATCGACACTCATCCGGACACCTGGGACGCCTTCCATTCCTTCGAACCGAGCGACTCCTGGGACGGACACGAGCTCATCCGCGGATGCGATCGCTTTTCCTTTCAAAGAAGAACCAGATGAGAGTGACTCATGACGCCAGGATACCCCAGGTGTCGGACTGGCCCGTTTTTCTTCGGTCTTTGCACGCCGATCTGTTCAGCCGCTTTTGGGTCATTGACGAGATGAGTGACATTCGGTGCTTCTCCCATCTCGTCGAACAACGGCGATCGGCTTAGAATCACCGCAGGTCGGTCACGAGCTCACCGGTCGCACCGATCGGTCCAAGTCGTTGACTCCTCAAAGCTCAGCTGCAAGCATGGCTTCGGGCAGGTTCATTAATGTTCTTTATAGTTGTTGTTAGTTAATGTTAGTTCATGTTCATTCCATAATCCCTCCCAAAAGTTCCAACAAAAGCAACATATGTTTCAGAGACTATCTCAATCAATTCCTCCCTTTTTCCTCATGGTGCCAAGCTTCCAGTTGACATGCCCTGCCCTGAAAACTGCCCCCACACCTCCCAGGCCATCCTCATCACTTGCTGCGCCTCCTGGGGGAGGCGCAGGAAGCGTGCTCCCTGGACGCCGCCGCTTGCGAGTTGGCGGTCCACGCCGGGGAGGTTCGACCGCGGGGGAGAGAGAGAGAGCGGGGTACGACTGGACCCTCCAAGCTGGCCAGTCTCCAAGGACCATAGATGCCCACAGGGTCGGTTGGTGGCTGGATGCACAAAGAGATGTCAGAATACAAGTCCGAACGAACATCAGAACCATGTTTTGCACATCTGTGGGAAGAATCATGCAAGAATTGTTGCTGGAATGAATGGCAGATTGTACACACCAGAAGATATTGCAGAACATAGGTCAGACTTGACAGCAGGACAAATGTCAGAACATGTCAGAACACTTGCCAGAAAGAATTTCAGAACACATTCCAGAACATATCCCAGCCGTTATGCTATAGATGATGCGTGAAAACATACAGCAGACTCGATGACAGAACACATGTGCAAAATCTTAAGTGTCACTGCAGCGCTGTCAACGGCGGCCCGGCGGCGCTCGGTCGTGGATCTACCTGTGCCCTAGGTTCTTTTCAATATCGATCACCTTGTCAGGGTGGGGATCACTCAAAGCAAAGTACCAGGACCCTCCTGTCGGGGTGCCCTGTCTGGAAGCCTAGGCCGGTAGTGTGGGGTAGTCCATTGGACACCCCTTGGAGGGTCCAGGTATGTGTGCTTCTAAACATGCTTTGAACACACATGATTTGTCGGGTTAACTTCGTCATGCAGGTCTCCAGCTGACGAGTTAGCTCAATGAAACACGTCCAAGTACCGGAAGATATCCCTAGGGCTCCTGGCCCATATCCTCAGGTTCGGTGGTTAGACCCCCCTGGCACCCACCCCTGTCCCATCTCCGAAACGGAGGTGGGCCAGGAGCCCTAGGGTATATAGGCCACAAGAGATGGGAAGAATAACATCCGAAAACCAAGGACCGGCAAACTCACTAGACTCTACCGACCATATTCTAGAAGCGTAACTACTTGCTCCAAACTCAAACTTCTTGTGCTACACACGTGCGTTCTCGGGCGTTTGATTCGCAAATTGGTGTGCCCTGTGGCTCATGGTATACCACCTAAGCATTGCACGCTGCTGACCGACTGGATACGCCAAAAACCGGCAGATCACGCACTGAAACATGCAACTTCTTTGCAGGTCATCGGGTTTGGTGATGCTGCACCTGGCTTGTTGCTTGGACGACCAGTTGATGAAGTACATGTTGGCTGGTGCGGTCGTTGGTCAATAATGCACACCTCAAAACCATTGTAGATTGGCATGGTTTGTGGATCATGTTAAGGGTTTTCCTCAAGTGACATCAGCCGCAACCATCTTCAAACTTCCCCTCAAATCATCTAACTACTGAAGGATCTTGAACATTGCAAATGACGTGGTTTCCCTGGCAACATTCTGGAGGAGAGTGGCATCCTGAAGTTCAAGGGATGCATGATGAAACAAACATATATCCAAGTCTTGGCATCTCTTCCGGTCATCGGTGGTGAGGACAGTCACTGTTCATCCTCCAAGAAGGCTCCTGTGGGAGCATTGATGTAGAATGTATAGGGAGACCCTCCAACTACGGGTTTTGCCAGTCCGCTTTCAAGGTACCTAGTGACCTGTTGGAGGTTCCAGATAGACCTTTCACTGACCTGCTTTTTTCACTTTGGACAATCAGAGCATCCAGATGTCACAGCTTTTTTGGCTCAGGGCGCAGACTGTCCACACACTGCGGCAGCAGGAAGGTTGATGATGCACAAAGATCGTTCAGTCCGATCATCAAATTCATGAAACATCGTGTCATAATCTGCGGAGTCCGGCATGAGGCCCCTCTAACCGGGGCTGCAGCTCGCCTTGGGATCCTGGAGATTGTAAGATGAAGAACACCAATCCAGTCCATGCCAGTCCCATGTCGTGACTGGTATTCATGAAGAAAGCAGGCCCATGCAGGAACCTCGCACTCGCCCCATCTCCCTGAAGCGCCTGAGCTATGGGATGCTTCTTGGGCCACCCAGGTGTCCCCAAGTGCATCTTGGCAAGATGCGTTCCCTTAGGAACCGGCAGCCGGACAAAGCCATTTACAAATTCTTCTCAAAAGATGCAGCACCTTCCGACTGATGAGGGCGTTGACTCAAGGGTCAAACATTTCAATATCCAGAGAGGTTGTGGATGGGTTCGTTCTCAGCTGAGGGGAAGGAGGTCATATCGTTAGACTGGTACGAGGTGGAATGGGGGGTGAAACCAAAGGAGGCCATTGGAATTCTTAAGGATGTCCCCTTCGATGCAAGCTGAGGTGGTTGAATTCTTGGGGAGAGGACCAGATGTGAGCCAGTGTCAAGAAGTTTGCTCGCAGGCTCCTAGTAACTATTGAACCTTCAGGTAAAGTAAGATGCTTTATGAATTGGGTGGGTAAGGAATCTCCCAGATGGCGAACACCAATCCCGCAGCATCCAGCATTTGGTGTCTCTCATTCACCCATGTCTTCAGCTCACTTCATCGCTCTTGACGGGATGGGTCATGGCACCCAGGAACTACATCACCCAGTGACCAGCCCAGTGACCGTCCCTTAGGAGCCCCCAAAGTCGCGACCTTCTACAGGCCTCTACAGAGGATAAGCCTTCACCTCTGGCTGCCTCTAGGGTGAGACTTCAGTGGGAGGCCACCACCTCCCAAAGATTTGGGCATCAGCCACCTCGCTCACCGCAAAGACGAGCCTCCTCCCTCCTCGTCCCCTCCGTCCCCTCCCGCCTCAAGGCGTCCCGCAGCGGTGCCTACGTCCCTGGATCTGCCTTGATCGTTCCATCGAGCCTTTCGGCGCCCACCTGGCGAGCGAACGGCTTCGGGTCGGGCGGAGAGGTGGGCGTGGAGGTGGGCGAATCGGGAGACGCTCCTATGCAAGGACCCCCCGCTGCAACATAGGATGAGAAACACCTTTACAAACCCCTCCAAAACCCCGGCGAGATGGGGGGAGACACCCCTATAGATACTACACACACACCCCATGTCCGGGAGATTCTCACCCGGCCATGAAACGCCGTCACAGTGAGTGAACTCCACGCGAACCCGCGGCGGGCGGGTTTTTTGTGTGAGGGAGGGGAGGCCGTGTGTTGGGCCGGTGGACCGATGTGATGCAGTGAACCTGAAGTATCCAGTGATGAGGTCCACTGAGGCGCCTTTCAAGACCATGTGTTTAAAAGTGTGTGTAAAAACATATGTGAGCATCATGCACACAAATGTATTATCAATTTATGGTTCTTTTGGCAGCATCATGTTCGATTTCTTGGGTGTTAACCCCTGACAAGCGGTAGATCATGACTACCAGATGGGGTAAAAATGGTTCAAAAAGCGGAAGTTCTGGGTTACTGCGGATCTTGTACCCCCCACCCAGGTTGGTGGATTTGACGTCCTCGGCAGTCTATGCGGCGTGCTGCTACCGGCGGTTCTTGTATGGCCCAGCTTTTAACCATGAAGGCGCGGTACCGGGGAGATCGGTGGGGCAACGATGAAGTGCGTAAGAAACAACAGACTGATTCAATCATGGTGGTCCGACCACTTGACGGAGAAGATATGAACTTGTTTACTTCCATGTGTCATGGCGAAAAGGATTCTCTTAGCTTACCTTCAGCAGAGTGAAGGAGTTTGCATTGTAATCACCCTCGAAAGAGGACCCTGCCCGTGCCCCCTCAACAATCCAACGTGAAGTCCTATTGGTCGTTAAACCACATGCTAAGACTTTTTGTGGTTGTGGTTGTTGTTGTTGTTGTTGTTGTTGTTGTTGTT